GGGGGGGGGAGGCGCTGGGCGGGGCCGAGTGGGGTGGGGCCCGGCGCGCTGGGGCGGAGCTCCGCTTCCTCCCGGTCATGGGGTTCGGGGTAGCCATCTTGAGGAGCCACACATCCGACTGCTTTTCTCGGCCCCGTTTCCCAATTCTGTACCCCCTACCGCCTTCATCCTCGAGATGGGAGTTTTCGGTTCGCCTTTCCTCGCGGATAGGCTGATTGCCACTTCCAGCAAAAGATACTTAGGTTACTTCACCTGTAAAACCCGGACAGGGGTGGATCAGGTGGTGATTCCCAACTGGTCCACCTCGCAACAATTCTTCTGTCGTTTAAGTTAACAGCATTAATTAATAAAGAATATAGTCATTCATTAGGCATCTACAAAGTGGAAGCATTACTAGATAAGACAGACAGGGTGTCCTGTCCGCAAGGGATTTGCAGAATGAAGTCCGAATTCCTTAATCTAGCATTCAGTGCTCTCTGTGAGCTAATAAACTGTATTCCTAGGCCCACCTCCCATCCTATCCTCCTGGTAGCTTGGTTACTTACAATTGCGGAAGGAGGCCCAGCGTTTCTTTCCCCCTGGAGGTGTCTGTCCTCTGCTGTACGCAGGCTTCCTGGTGGGATGTGAGCATGCAACTACGACAGCGACAGGAACGATCAGTTAGGATGAGGTTCAGTCGCAAATGACAAAAGAAAAAAAAATAATAACTTACGATAGGAATTGATTTCTTTCTTCACAAAAAAGAAGTCCAAGGGTAGGCAGTTTTGAGCTGCTCTGCTACACTCAGCGCTTGGTTTCCAATCTTAGGTTTACCTCATTGCGCTCCACCTTTGGAAGCATGCAGGAGAGAGGGGGAAAAGTGCACCCTTTTCTTTTTAAGAGACTGCGCTGGAAGGCCCACGCATTTTTGCTGACATCTCATTGGCCAAAATAATGAGCTACGATGAGAAATGTCGCCTTTTAACTAGGCGCAATGTGCCTGGCTAAAAATAGAGGCTCTGTGATTGATAGAGAATGGTAGAATGAATACTGGAAGGTACCAGGTGTCTTTCTCATGGGTGGCATTTACAACCACGAGAAAGGTCCCCAGGAATAAGCCCTAAGAAACTTCAAAGTTTTGAGGTAAAACAGTGGAAGAGGAGCCAGCAAAGGAAACTGAGAAGCAGGGACTGTGAGAGGAGAAAAACCAGACAGGTGTGATGTCACAGACCCCAAGATGAAATGTTGCGATTGTCAATTGTGACAACTGCTGCTGAGAAGTCAGGAAAGAAGAGAGAAGTGACCAATACCGTAAGGAGGGGGCATGTTTCTCCTCAAGTAAGGAGGTTTGCTACTGGATGGCTAAAACAACAATGAATTTCTATATATTCGTCAGAATAGGCTAGGCTCTGCTATGGTAACAAAGAACCCGAATGGCTCAACGGCTTAACCCAACAAAGGTTTATTTTTGTCACTCATGCAAAGCCTGATATGGCTCAAGGTGCTCTCCAGCCTACCGATCCTCTACTCCACTGGGTAACTCAGAGATCCAGGTCACTTCTACAACCTCAATACAAGGCTTTCAGGATTGCCTCAGTAAGGGAAAGGTTGCTACATAGAAGGTAATGTACTGGCAATGAAAGACTTCAGCCTGGAAATGACCCTCATTACTTCCATTCAGACTATTAACCAGACCTTGTCACACAAGCTGAATCTAACGGCAAGGGAGGCTGGGAATTGTAGGGGGGAAGCCATGGACTATTTAGTAAGCCATATTATCAAAGCCACAGCTCCCTAGAGTTGTTTTTTACTCTGTCCTCAGTGCCAAATGTCCCGATCAGTGGCAGGGTCCCTTCAAGGAGGTGTGTGCCTGTGGTGGGGATGAAGGGTAGAGAAGAGGCTGCCTTGTTCCTTGGGTCAGATTGTGTCTGAAGGAGACAGGGACTCCTGATTCCAGGCAGACCCAGACGGCTTCTAGTTGTTTCTCCCCACACAGCTGTCAGAATCCAAGCTTGCTGAAAAGCTCAACACTGAATGTTTGCTTGTCTTGGCACTGGCGTCCAAACAAACTCTGCCTCAGCTCAAAGCTGCCACCATCAGTGCTTTGGCAGAAAGCTGACCTCTCATAAATGCCATTGAACTTTGCAATGGCCCATTGCTTTCCTACTGGGTTTTCTTCCCTCCTGGATCCATCACCCTTGAATCGAGGGACTAAAGCAATTCCTCCTACTTTTTTTTTTTTTTTTTTCCTGTGTCTCCACTTGGTGGAGACTGAGTAGTGACTCAGGGGGATGGCACGAGAGAAAGAAGGATTCTTACTCATTTTTCACTCATTCAGTAAACATTTATGATTCCTTGTGCTAGGCTGTTTGTCAGGCACTAGGATCATGGAGATGAAAAACAGAGCCTAATGAGGGTTGCAGACAGGAAAGCAGGTCATTGGGATACTAGGTGACAAAGACATGGACAGGCCAGAGGAGGGCAATGGCAAGCCTTGCTCGGGGTAGTCAGGGATGGCTTTCCGAGGAAGAGCCCTTTGAGCTGGGTCTCAAATGAGGAGTAGAGTAGGGAGTCGACACTTGTCAGTAGGGGAAAGGGCAGAGGGAGTCTGGAGGAAAGGCATAGGAGTACAAACACAGGATCAGTCTGACAAGTGTGGACAGCAGCGTGTGACAAGAGTGGAGAATGTCCGAAAGGATGCGAGAGAGAAGAGAGAATGGAAAGCCTCTGTGTTATGACTCCATTGGATGCAAGGAAGAGAAACCCAACATGAACTAGCTGATGCTAAAAGAGGAGGTTGACTCAGGCAATCCTTTGAGACAAGTACTACAGCAAAGGGGCCCAAGGACCCACTGCAGCCAGGGAACCACCTGCACTCCTCCATCATTCATCTTTGCTTCTCTGCCTGGAAGCTCCCCCCTCTCCTTCTCTTCCTCTTCCTCCTGCTTTTAACTGTGGTAAAGTATACATTACATAAAATCTACCATTTTTACCAATTTTTTTAGTGTTTATTTTTGAGAGAGAGAGCGAGCGAGCATGGTGGAGGGGAAGAGAGAGAGAGGGAGACAGAGGATCTGAAGGGGGCTTCAAGATGACAGCAGAGAGCCCAATGCGGGGCTCGGACTCTCATACCGTGAGATCATGACCTGAGCCAAAGTCGGACACTTAATGGACTAAGCCACCGAGCTGCCCTGCATTTTTACCAGTTTTATGTGTGCAGTTAGTGACATTAAATATGTTCACGTTGTTTGTGCAACTTTTGTTACCATGCATCTCCAGAACTTTTTTCTCTCTCAAACTGAAACCCTGTACCTATTAAACAGTAACCCTCTCATCTCCCTGCTGTGGCTTTTCAGACCACTTTCCTCTCTAGGCTGGAACTGTGCCCGACAGCAATCCCCAGCTCATGCCTTCTAGCTCCCTCACCAGAGAGATGAGAAATTCTCTTCCCTTTGTTCCAAATCCCCAAAATCCCGCAGGAGGATTCTGACTGACCAGGCTTGGTCACATGCTCACTCACACCCTTGATCATAGGGAATGGGATGCCATGATTGATAGCTCCCACCTGGACCATATGTTAGGCCAGGGGAAGAGCAATTCTTGTTTTCCGAAGAAGGGAGGGGCCAAAAGTGACCAGGTGAAATAGGAAACGTTCACCAGAGATAGGTTGGGGCCAGGTCACCAGAAGCCTTGAACACCAGGCCGAGGACCTCAGCTTTTATTCTGTTATGCAGCGGGGCATTGTGGGAACATTTTGATCAAGGAGAGCGATATGTACAATGAGGTTGGTCTGCAAAATCAGCTCTTTCTTGAGCCTCTATTTTTGAGCTTTCTCTTGCCTTTCAAGGTTGCTCTGAAAGGTAATTTTTATTCAGATGTCACCTGAATACCAACTGGGCCCCAGCTCCTTCCCCTGGCCTCAGAAGTGACCCCTACTTCTTATGACCCCTACTTTTGGCAGTCCAATCTGGGTCACCTCCTGTCTCCTGGGTTTCCTGGCCCTTCCTCCCCACCTGCTTCAATGAATGGCCTCTCCATTCCCCTAGACGTTCTCCTGCCCCTGACCTGTCCTCCAACCCCCCAAGTCCAGATAACCTTTAAAGTGTTTCTAGAACCTCTCTTGGCTTCAGGCCTCATTATTTCTCTTGCCTGGACTTTGGCCCCAGCTCCTCAGTTGGACTCTTTTGTAAAGCCACCAACTCATGCCAATCCCTTCTACAGTTCCCACTGTCAGCCTCATCTCCTTCCATGCCTCTTAGAATTGAGCTATTTGACCTTTTTTTCCTAAGTAATCTCTACACTCAACATGGGGCTGGAACTCACAACCTGGAGAGCAACAGCCACAGGCTCTACCGACTGAGCCGGCCAAGCGCCCCTTAAAAATATGGGAGGCTTCACGAATTTGTATGACATCCTTGTGCAAGGGGCCATCTAATCTTCTCTGTGCCGTTCCAATTTTAGTATATATGCTGCCAAAACAAGCACCATTTGGCCTTCTTGATGCTATCTAGGCATGCCCAGAATTACCAAGTTTTGCTTCCTTTGCAGATGCTGGTCCCTCTGCCTCTTACGCCCTTCTCGTCTCTCTTCACTTGGTGTAATGACACGCATACTTCCAGGCTCATTTCCATGGTCACAGCCCCCCTTTCTACAGTCAGCCCAACCACCCTCCCACCTTTGTGTCCCCAGGGCACGGTGTAGATAACTCTAGTATCACACCTATTACTAGGATGACCATATAATTTACTGTCCAAGCCCAGGACACTTTTGAGAACGAACGGGGACACTATTATTTTTTCTTACTTAATGTTTACTCATTTTTGAGAGAGAGAGTGCATGCACTCAGGGGCAGGGAGGGTCAGAGAGAGAGGGGAACGGAGGACCCGAATCAGACTCTGTGCTGACAGCAGAGAGCCTGATGTGGGGCTTGAACTCACAAACCACGAGATCATGACCTGAGCCAAAGTCAGATACTTAGCCAACCGAGCCTCCCAGGAGCCTCAGGAATGCTATTATTATTATTATTTTTTTATGTTTAATTATTTTTGAGAGAGACAGAGCGTGAGTGGGGGAGGGGCAGAGAGGAAGACAGAGAATCTGAAGCAGCCGCCGGGCTCTGAGATTTTAGCACAGAGCCTGACGTGGGGCTCCAACTCAAGAACCATGAGATCATGACCTGAGCCAAAGTCAGAAGCTCAACCAACTGAGCCACCCACGTGCCCCCAGGAATGCTGTTATTAATCAACTGCCCTGGTTCAATGGGTGTCAACTGGTCTCTTTCAGGCAAAGAAGGAGGTATAGTCGCCCACCCATACCTGGCATTGTTGTAAAACCTGGCACTTAACGTTTTCATTTGTCTTGTTCATGTCTCTTAGATAGTATTATTATCCCCCATTTTTAAGATGAAAGGATGGAGCCTTTGAGAGAGAGGAGATCTGTGGTCACATAGCCAGAAGGAGAGATTCCAAACCCTGGACTCTTCTGACTCCAGAGGTCATTATATACCACCACACCTGACCCCTCCAATACCAGAGTCTTATTGTTGTTTAGGTTGGTCATGTGTGGTCCCCCTAGATGAAAGGTAGAAATGGTGTCTTACTCGTCTTGTGCACTGGCCTAACATAGAGAAGGCCCCAGGGCACGTTTGTTACACAGATGACTTCTTGAGGATAGAACTGTGTGTCTCACCTTAAATTCTGTTGTCCCTTCCACGGCTAGTACCTAGCACGGGACTTGCATCTATTCATTTAATAAAAATTTATGAAGCACCTAGTGTGTGCCGGTACTGTGTTGGTGATACAGTGATGAGCAAAACGACAAGGTCCTTGTTCTCATGGAGCTTACTGTTCAACAGCAATCACACAAATAAACATAAACTGGGATAAATCCTAAGGGAAAATACCCGGTTCTGAGGTTTAAGAAATATTTTGGAGGTAAATTTAATAGGTTTCGGTCATAAATGTGATGGGGGATAGCAAGATGGACGTGGCTATTGGGTTTTTGCTTAAAACAGATGGCGAAACAAAGAAGGAGCAGTTCGGGAGAGACTGCGGTCGGTTTGGATGTGTGGGACTTGAGGTGTCTGTGGGATTTCTAAATTTTTTGTTTAATGTTTACTTATCATTTTTGAGAGAGAGACAAAACGTGAGCAGGGGAGGAGCAGACAGAGAGGAAGACACAAAATCCGAAGCAGGCTCTAGGCTCTGGGCTGTCAGCACAGAGCTTGACGCGGGGGATCGAATTCAGGAACCCCGAGACCATGACCTGAGCCCAAGTCGGAGGCTCAACCAACTGAGCAACCCAGGCACCCCCTTTAAAAAAATTTTTTTTTAATGTTTATTTATTATTTTAGAGAGAGAGACAAAGCGTGAGCAGGGGAGGAGCAGAGAGAAAGAGTGTCTGTGGGATTTCTATTTGAATCTTCCCCACTTCCAGCCAGGTTAACTGATTCGCCCAAAGCTGCAACATTGTGGCAAGTAACACAAACCTGCTTCAGCCAGTCCTCGCAAAGCTGGCCTCCAGGTAGCACGGTAGGAAAAGGGACAGATGGGGGAAGGCAGGAGAGACGCAGTGAAGGGATGTGTTCACTGAGACAATAATCAGACCTCCCAAGCTGCAGTGAGGATCTCGGCGAGAAGCCAGGGTCCTGGCAGCGGTTAACAGGACAGAGAGCCCGGGCCCCGCCCTACCCTGCTCGGCGCTGGGCCAGAGCATCCCCTGCGAGCCCGGACACGCAGGAGGGGCTGCTCCGTGCCTGGAAATCCGAGCAGCCGGGCAGGCAGGGCTGCGGAACCGCCAATCGGGCTGCGCCTGGTGGCGGCGCCACGTGACCGGCCTCCTTCCCCCACCCCCTTCTCCGGCCTTCCAGGGAAGACGGGCATCCCCGCCACCCCGCCGCCCCCGCCCCTCGCGTGCCGCAGCGGCGCGGGAGGGCGCGGAGGCGAGGGGCCGGGATTCCGCCGCAGTCCGCTGCGGCGCAGGGGAGGGGAGGGGGGGATAGACGAACGCGTTGCGGCCGCGGCGCCTGCAGTGTTTAGCGTCAAGGTCAGGCGTACCCGTTCCCGCGCAAGGCTGTCTCCAGAGTCCCTCCCTTGCCATCGTCCCAGCCATTCCCACCGCCGCTCCTGGCCGCAGCGTCCCGGGCCTTCCTGGATCACGGCCTCAGCCTCTCGCTGGGCTTTTTGGGGGGACATTCGGAGGGATGGGAGGGTTTCAGTCCATCCCGTTCACGAGCTGCCCAGCCCCTTTTCTCATATGCCCACCCCATGCTGTGTCCCTGCTCTAAACCCCACACTGGCTCCCAGTGTCCTGTAAGAGAGCATTAAGGCCCTACAGAACCAAGCCCCAGTTTAACCCTTTACAGCCCCCTAGCCCAGAGACCCAGTTCCTCCGGACCCCTTGCCCTTCCAGGAACAGTCACCGATTGCATACTTAAGTGACTACTGTTGCCGTATCTTCTGCCTAGGGTACCCTTTGCGAACCTAGCACATTTATAGACCCAATTTGATTGTAATAACGCAGTGGAGGGTGGAAACCGGTGCCGAAATGCCCTTTAACAAAGGTCACAAAGTTGAAAGCCTACAGGGATCAAGCAGGAGAAATAAGGCCAGTGGGTGACAGCACAAGAAAAACCTGTCTAAAGGGCAGAGACTCTGCTCTCCATTCAGGCCAACACGCTCCTTGGGAGGAATGTGGGTCCTACGATGACAGATATTACGAGTTTACATGAAATGCCACAAATCCAGATTTTCATGTGTAATCTTTGAATTTTTAAGTGTTGATTTGATTTCTTAAGAACATCCCTGCGGGCCAGTTGCAGCTCATAGATCCTCAGCATGTGACTTCCTGTCCTAGAGAAGAGGATGGCTTTGGTTGGGAAAACACTTTGAAAAACTGTTGAGGGTGAAAGTTTGTTCTTGAAGCTCTGAGACACAGCTGCTGTGGAGGCAACAAGAAAGTGGACTAGGATTTGAATTTTTTCCTAAAACGACACTGGATGCTTTAAGCTACCGAGCACTCAAGAGAATCTACCAGAAACTGGAGGACTGGGTCTTGAAAATGGGGG